CGAAGCTGTGAATTAGAAGCCTCGCTTCAATCATGGCTATCGGCTTAGCCTCAATCACCTCGTGGCGACTTTGCCTTGTAGTACTGGCCGCGTTGACCTCAGTGGTCCGTGGAAGCCCATCTGTCAATGTTGCTTTACAAGCATCATTCGATTCAGCACCGTATCTTCTAGAGCTATTGTAAGCAAGCCCAGCCATTCCATTCCGTACGATGCTTGCTCATCATGAAATCAGAGAAACAGCTGCAGAGGAGAACTCAACGTCCTACTTCCCCCTACTCGATCGTATCGCAGAGGGAACATTTGACGATGCGACCACAGAAAAACAGCTTTATGACCGTTTCCTACAAGTCGTTTATGATGATGGACATCTCAGCAGCCCGGAACTTTTGTCGTCGTTCAAGCTGTCTTTGGCGATTCGATCCGCGGCCCCTCGAATCACCACGCACTATCAGTTCTATAACGCGTCTGTCCAGCATTCGTTGATGGCGGCGCAGGATGCGGCATGCCCTGTCTGGGTTCACTCGGACGGTAAACAGTATTGCTCCTCGCTCATGGAGCGCGCCCAACAGGACGTGATGGGAGAGTCGTGAGTTACTATTGTTCTCGGATGTGGGTTTACGGGTATCTAACATGCGATGGTGTGCAGAGATCCTCGAGAGCTTCCCTTCGATCGAGTGCTAGGAGATATATCACTTCCACCGACCATTCTGTATGCGGATATTGCGTCTCCCATGTTCAGAGATTTTCATCATACCTTGAGTGCGCTCGCCAAGGAAGGACAGGTCTCGTATCGCGTGCGCTACCGACCACCTCAACATTGGATATCTCGTCCCCTCTTTGTCTCTGGCTATGGTGTCGAACTTGCTCTCAAGCGGACGGATTATATTGTAATTGATGACCGTGATGCTGAGAAAAGGAGCCAAAAGAAATCGGGGAGTACTGAGTCGGCCAGCGTGGAGGAAGAATCACCTGATGACCTGAGACCTCTGTCTTCCTCAGAAGTGGCCCGTCTCGGTCTGAACACGGTCAGCTATGTGATGGACAGTGAAGAGCCCTTGGATACGCTTGTGAGGATTTCTCAAGACTTCCCCAAGCACTCCGCCAAGATCGCTGCTTACAATGCGTCAACCGCTCTGCTGAAAGATATTCGTACTAGCCGGCTTGGAATGCTTCCTTCAGGCGCCAATGTCATGTGGATCAATGGGGTTCAGATTGATCCTCGTCAGATAGATGCATTCTCACTCTTGGATCACCTCCGTCGCGAAAGAAGACTAATCGACAAATTTCGGGGTATTGGACTTTCTGCTCAGGAAGCTGTCGATTTGCTCTGCCATCAGACCCTCGGGGAGACACTGGCGAAGGATTCCCCTCCGCGTTACAACTACCGTGACGAAATTGAGGGAGGCGGCGTGATCATCTGGATGAACGACCTGGAAAAGGATACAAAATACCAATCATGGCCGGACGACCTCTCAGCGGTAAGCCTCCACCCTTCAGTTCTGTGTTGTGTCCTAGCGGCGTACTTACTGTGAGCAGTACCTTCAACCTATGTACCCGGGTCAACTCCCCGCTGTGCGGCGCGATGCTCATAATATTGTCGCCCCTGTGGATCTCACTAGCTCTGACGACATGGAGCTGGTTGTCAAGACTCTCCAAGTGTTTGTCAAGAAGAAGATCCCGGTGCGATTTGGTCTGGTCCCTCTTGCTTCGTCTCCAGGATCCGTCGCGCAACTCAAAGTCGCTCATTATCTTCATGAGACCTTTGGTCTGGCCAGCCTGATCCAGTATTTGGAAGAGGTATGTCGCATAAGGTGTCATTTGGTCTTGTGTGTGCTAATGATGTAAATAGTCCGCAGCCAGAAAGAAGATAGGGTCTCCTGACAAGGCCTCATTCCAACATGCCACTAAGGATCGAACTTCGCGGCCCAATAAGCAAATTCGGTCATTCGACGAGATTCTGAAGAGCGATGAGCTTGAGACCCTGGTTTCCCGGACCAATCAATACCAGAACAGACTTGGAATTAAGGCCGACGCACCATATATCTTAGTGAATGGAGTCTTTATTCATCGAGACGACAACTGGCCTCAGGAAATGAGCATGAGGGTTGGGCGCGACTTGCAGACCATCCAACAAGGAGTTGTGGATGGGTCTATCGAGGAAGACACCTGGCTCCCCGAACTTTTCCTCTCGCAAGCATTCGATCGCCGCAACCCCTTGATAATCCCCGAGGATCCAAAGGATATCCGAATTGTGGACATTTCAAAACTAGAAGAGTCTAGGGGAGAGTCCGCCGATACCCTTCGCATTGCATCTGACACGGAGGATACACTCGTTAGTAAGCACTTGATCGTTGTCGGGGACTTCGACTCCGAGAATGGCCTGAAGTTACTTGTTGAGGCTCTTGAACACCGGGAGACGCACGGCGAAGTGGAGATGGTTTTGGTCCATAACCCAGCTCCTGATGTAGAGACGGAAAGCGGATCTACCCTGGTCTATAACTCATTGAAGGGGACAGAGAGGGTGGATGCTTCCCAAGTTCTAGCCGCTTTGAAGACTGCGAAAATTAGCAACTTTCCTGAAACAGAGTCTAAGAAAATGTCCCAGTTTTGGGAGGCGCAGCAGGCCTTGGCTATAGGTCTTGGATTTTTGCCGGGAACGAATGGCGTCGTTGTCAACGGCAGAGCAATTGGGCCTCTCCCAGAGGGATCGACGCTATCGAAAGAAGATCTGGACGGACTTCTGGCCTACGAACAGACGAAGAGAATAGGTCCTGTTGCAAAGGCTGCGAAGGATCTCGGTTTGGACTCGAAGCTTTCTGGCCCGCTTGCGCTTGCCAAACTTAGTTCTCTTGCGGCTCTTTCGACCGTGTCTGACGTTCCTGAGGGCATTTTTGAACAAATGTCCAACATCAGAGTGGATTTGTTCAAGAAGTGGGACGATTTGCGGTCTGTCATAACTCTTTCGACTTCTGAAGATCCAGCTATCATCATCGCTGCTTCTATTGATCCTACATCAGAAACAGCACAGAGATGGCTGCCAATATTGAAGGTCCTCTCAAAATTAGCCGGTGTCCGGGTCACATTGTCCCTGAACCCACGTGAAGAGATCCAGGAGCTACCAACGAAGCGATTCTATCGCTATGTCTTGGACTCGGAGCCATCGTTCAACGATGATGGAAGTCTCGCAAGGCCCACGGCCACGTTTTCTGGCGTGCCGGTGGAGGCACTTCTCACCCTGGGGATGGACGTCCCATCCCCCTGGCTCGTTGCTCCTAAGGAGTCGATCTACGACCTGGACAACATCAAATTGAGCTCCTTGAAACCAGGTGCCAATGTTGACGCCATCTACGCACTGGAACATATCTTAATTGAAGGACATTCGCGCGATGTCACGGTCAAGACTCCGCCGAGGGGAGTTCAACTACTTCTCGGCACCGAAAACAATCCTCACTTCGCTGATACCATCATCATGGCAAATTTGGGATATTTCCAGTTCAAAGCTCAGCCGGGACTGTGGAAGATCAATCTTAAGCCTGGCCGCAGTCAGCGCATTTTCAACCTTGACAGCGTCGGCGGCCATGGGTACAGTCCGCAACCCGGTGACGAGAACAACGAAGTTGCACTTCTCTCATTCCAAGGGAAGACTCTATTCCCTCGTCTTTCGCGTAAGAAGGGCCAGGAGATGGAAGATGTCCTAGATATAGGTACCAAACCAGGCTCAGCGATGGACTACGTATCTAAGGGCTTCAACTTTGCTCAGGGTGTACTCTCAAGCGTAGGTGTCGGTTCTAAAGATAGTCTGGCTGAGAAGCAGGCGGACATCAACATCTTCTCCGTGGCAAGCGGTCACCTGTACGAGCGAATGCTGAATATCATGATGGTCTCGGTGATGCGAAACACCAAGCATACCGTCAAATTCTGGTTTATCGAACAATTCCTCTCACCTTCATTCAAATCCTTCCTTCCACACCTGGCGAAGGAATATGGCTTTTCGTACGAAATGGTCACATACAAATGGCCGCACTGGCTTCGAGCGCAGCGGGAGAAACAAAGGGAGATCTGGGGATACAAGATCCTCTTCTTGGACGTCCTTTTCCCGCTTTCACTAGATAAGGTGATCTTCGTGGATGCCGATCAGATCGTGCGCACGGATATGTACGACCTCGTCTCTCTAGATCTTGAGGGCGCGCCATACGGCTTCACACCCATGTGCGATTCCCGCGAGGAGATGGAAGGCTTCCGCTTCTGGAAGCAGGGATACTGGAAGAACTTCCTCCGCGGACTCCCCTATCATATCTCGGCGCTGTACGTAGTAGATCTAAACCACTTCCGGGCCCTTGCAGCCGGCGATCGTCTTCGCGGACAGTATCAGATGCTCTCGGCCGATCCCAACAGTCTGAGTAATCTCGACCAAGACCTGCCGAATCATATGCAGCATCACATCCCGATCAAGAGCCTTCCCCAGGAGTGGCTCTGGTGCGAGACCTGGTGCTCGGACGAGTCGCTCAGCACGGCCAGAACGATTGACCTGTGTAATAACCCGCAAACGAAGGAGCCCAAACTGGACAGGGCCCGAAGACAGGTTCCTGAATGGACGGAATATGATGAAGAAATTGCAGCGTTGGCGGAAAGAGTCGCCTTGGAGCAACAACGACAACAGCAGGAAGAGATGGAGTCTGCAGACCAAGACGAGGAGTCTGGTTGGGAAAAGGATGAGCTCTAATATATAGCGCCTAGCTTCATATCAGGAATCACCTCAATAAAAATGAGGCCTGCAGCTCCCACCTTTTGGTTCTTGGTCGCCGCTAGAAGAGAATGTCGAATTGGAGACATTCCAGATTAAAATTTTATCTATCTATCCAGTATATATTAGGCGTCGAACCGAGATCTTCGAGTTTATCGTACAATACACCGAATTAGCGTACACCCAAGTTATTATCGCAAACCAAGTCATCATCACTCATAAGTCAGTCAATCGTCTATACCATGCTTGTATCCCGTCACTTGGACTTTTTCCCCTTTGACACGGGAGTTGATCCCGGTTTGCCCTTTGCCTTCTCCCCGTCCTTCTTGACCTGAGGATGGGAAGGGTTGACTTGTTTCGGTCCGCTTTGCTCAATCTTGGCATTGCTTCCCTCCTTTGATACTGCTGGACTGCGTGACTTGGAGAGTTCCGATTTTTGTCCATTAACAGCTTTCGGTACTTTGGGTTGAGCGGTAGGCTGCTTGGGCTCGGACTTGGCGTTGGGCTGGGGCTTAAATGTGGAGATTGCACTGTCTGATGCCGAGCTTGACTCGTCGGTATCGGCTCCTGAATCGCTGTCATGACTCCCACCGTGGCTATCGGAGTCATCCTCGCTTTCGCTATCTTCTGACGTGGATCTAGCGGAGGACGATGACGAAGATGACTTCTTCTGACCTGTTTTCAGACGCTTCGACTCAGATTTCCCGGTCTGCTCTGCGGGTTCCTGAGCTTTGCGTTTGGCGCCCTTCAGTGCGGCTGTCTTCGGCGACTTCACCGGCTTGACGTCGCCAGCGCTAGAGTTACTTTCGCTGTCGCTGCCATCGTCGGTGCTGTCATCACCGGAAGACGTTTCATCTGACGTCGAGGAGTTTTCTTCGGACTCATCGTTATTTTGAGTCTTTTGGGAGACCTGGCCCTTCACGCTGGTTTTCCGAATCGATGTTGATGCTTTTGGCGCTACTTTTGCGGACTGTCTGTCCGAAGATTCTTCGGAGCTTGATGTAGACTCTTCTTCTGAGTCGGAAGAATCGGATGCGGGCTGGGAATCTGATTCAGACTCGGACGACGTCGCTTGCGGCATTTCCTCTTCCTTGGTGGTTGACTTTGGTGGCTTTGAAGCTCTAGCTCGTGGAATTGCGTTTGTCTCAGCTTTGACCGACGAGTCAGAAACAGATGTCTTCGTAGCCTGACTTCTGGATTGTTTACCGTCACTTGTTTTGGATTTGGGCCGGTCAACGAGTTTCTGGTTCGGTGTGGGCTTTGTAGGCTTTGACGACGACTTTGCGGAAGACGCTTTGTTATTCATCACATCTTTCTCCTGTCCTTTTGGAGATTGTGCCCTGATCCTGGCGTCGACTTTTGCGTCGCTTTCAACACTGGATTCGGAGTCTGAGTCCCCACCAGATCCATAACCTGACTTGATTTCGGCTTCAGAAGCATCCTCTGAGGCAGCCTCAACCGAGTCAGATGATGCTTCGGACTCGGAGTCGTCGTCAATTTCCATCTGTGACGCGTTGATTTGAGAGCCTTTATTGAGTGCCTTTGCTGAGGTAGAGGGCGGCTTTTCCGGGGCAGCCATGATGGTGGGTTTCTTGTCGGCAGACTCACCCTCATCCTTGATCTCCGGCGATTGAGACTCTATACCAGTAGACTGTTCCATGTCCTCTTCGTCTCCATCCTCTGAATCAACGTACTCGGAGCTCTTCAACATCCTCTCCATTTCCATCTGCTCCGCGAGCGTGATGGACTTGGCTCTGCCCTGCGGCTTTGCTTCCGTTGCTGGGTCGTAGACAGCGTTTTGATTTCCAGTGCTGCGCTGTCCCATAATCTTGCGTCTGATCTTGCGCCATTTATCCGCGCACTGTTGTCTTGACCGGCAGTTCTGAAGTTTATTACTGACTGTGCCCCAAGATATTAAGCCCTCATCCATTTCGTAGATGTCTCGGCCCACATCTTGGCCGTCCTTTTTCAGATTGTTCCAGGAGGTTTGTAGGGCATCGAGCAGCCCGCGGACTTCCTCTTCGGACCATGCACCCCTTCTCATGGTGGTCCGGTGCTCAAGCCGATTCTTCCATCTCTGAACCACGTCATCCTCCACTCGACCCAGTATCTTGGCAATATGAGCGAATCTAGGACCATACCGTCCTACCAGGTCGATGAGTTCGTCATCTTGTTCATGTGTCCAGTGGTGCGGCTTCTGAGACGAGTCCTGGAAATGTCGCCTCATGAATCGGTAGACCGATCTTCGATCCCTGCTTGGTAATACATCATAAATCTGCTGCCAAAAATCTGGCTTCTTAATGATGCTCTCATCACAGGGCCAACCGCTGTCTTTTCGCCGGTCCACATGCTGTACCATTCTATCAAATCTTTCGCTGGAGATAGCATGCTCGTTGCAAAACTGGAGTTTGAAGGTCTCCAGCGCGCTGACCTCGGATGGAGCGAAGAAGCCGATCATTTTTTCTGTCTTTCCTTTTCTGGGTCCCCGGGCGGCTGATGTGTCCGTCAAATCCTTCTGGTCCGTTGAGCTACCCGCGAGCGATGGGTTCGCAGACGCCATCCGGATAGTCTTAGTCTCGGCAGGGCTCTGCGGAAGGTCCGACACATCTTTTCCTTCGTCCTGCTGTGTGGTCTTCGCCTTGGACTTCTTGGGTTTTCGGGACGCGGTTCCGTTCGTATGCGCTACGTCCGTTAGAGGTTGCATATCCGTCGACTGGCGCTGAGCTTCCCTGGTCTCCAAGCTGTTGGCAGTCACCGGGGTTTCTGGAGACGGAATGGCTTCACGATTGCCATTCTTTTCTGGCTTGCGGGCCTCCTTTGTGTTTGTAGTCGAGGGGCCGATCTTCGTGCGCTTCACTGGGGGCGCGCCTGCCTGGTCCAGGGGCGATTCTTGCGACTGGTTTGGGGTGCCCGAAGGCATGCCAATGTTGGAATCATTGACACTCTGCTTTCTTTTTCGCTTGGGAGAGACTGTTCCTTCGACCTGAGTCTCTGATTTCACTTTCTTCGAGGTTTTCGGAGGCCCCGAGGAACCAACGGCATCGCGGTCTTCACTCATACCTTGCAAATAGTCAGGCTCAAAGTACAGCGCAGCAATGTTTTGAAAAGTAGGTAAACGACTTTTCGGAGAAAGCACTATAAGTAAAGCTTACCTTGATTCTCAGACTCACTGAGCCCGCCATTCATGGGTTGCGAGGACCCTTGACCCATTTGGATAATCTACTAGGGAGAATGCATGAATCTGATGAGTTTCGAAAGGTATCCTAGGGGGGAAAAGTGTTTGCGAGTCTGTAGCTCAGCCAGATAAGATAGTGGGAAAAATTCCTCAAGCTGCGCGAGCGGCGCGACTTTTTGCGGATCTTCTCCGCCCTAACTAACCGCTCACTAGGAGCATTACAACAACTTTGCGCAGGTCGTGATTTCGACAATAAATGGTTGGCAGCATGAAAGTAGAACTTTCTGTCTTGGTAGCTGTAGTCTATTCCGCAATAATGCACCAAAGGAAGGGAGTAAAATTCAAGAAAAAATGACAACCGTTTGGGTATACAAGGAGCTACTCGGTGTATCACATGCCATGCAACGTTAAGACTCGACCTTCATTTCTCGTAGAATCCTCGTCACGAGTTTCTTCTGATCCGTTTGATTCAGATCATGCTCGTCAATGGTGGTGAGACAGCGTCCTATTGCCACTGTCGCTTTAACAGCAGCATCGCCTCCATTTGAGCAGTCAACCCAGACCTTGCCGTTTCTTCCCACAGCAATCTCGAAGCCTCCGACTTTTTCCAACTTCTTCCCAAGCTCCTCCAAGACCACTAATCCATCCACACCATCCTCTTGCTCGGAGGTCGACGAGCTAGCTCTCATTAATCTCGCAGCCATGCCTGTAGAGACATCAAATACCATCCCTCCAGTCAATGGACCCAACCCTCCAGGCTCAGCCTTGCCGGTTGCTGGGTTTACGCAGGTAAGCTCAACTTCTGCACCAGCACCGAGACCGATGGACAGAACTCGAGCATAGACCAAATCACCTTGCCTTAACATTGGCCTCGTCTTCTTCGTTGCACCTTCGAAAGCAAGCTGGCCGAGCAGCGCGTGAGGTGATTGAGGTGTAATCATGCAGTAGAAGTATTCGGCACTTGAATGATGAACTTGTGCGATCACCAAATCGTTGGGTGTTGGGATGTAGCGGCGATTGGGAAATGACAGGACGGACACAGCATTTTTCCTGTGATCTGTAGAGAGGAGACCAGCCTGTGTCGAAGCAATAACATGACCAGACGACGAAGAGGGGATTGCTGGAGAAAGCAGTCGAAGGCCAGGTCCTAGTCTCAGCGGAGCAGACTTGTTTGAGGGCAGCTGATCTGATGGCACATGATCACCTGGGAGCAAGATGACAGGCGACGACATTTTCTCAAATTTGCACCAATTGATGACGGGAGCGTTTTTTGTCTGCTGCCGACTGAACGGGGATCAATGGCTTGACTGGCAGCGAGATGTGACCCGAACTGGGACATGAAATTCATGCGAAAGAATGCCGCTCTTATCAGACTATCAGCACGTGACACCGCAACCCTGCAGAGTGAAATCCAGCCCAGAGACTAAATTGACGACACTGAGATAAGTAGAATATCGTTGATTGGATACTAAGAAACCTAAATGGCATCTGCGCATGTTTAGATAATTGGAAACCGATGAGAACTCTGAGATTGACGAAATAGAAAGTTCTCCTCGCTGTCTTAATAGTACTTCACATTGGTCAATTCTGGGCTGCACCGCCACATTTGATATCGATAAGCACCAGCCACAGTTGCCTCCCGCTGCCAAACAAATCAAAAGATTTTTTTCTCTTCTGCTCGTCGAAAGAAGAAATCGAAAAGCGATCAGAGCAGAGTCAAATTCCGGACCAGACTCCGCCTTCTCACACACACTCTCTCATCTTCACTCATTTTCCGTCCTCATTCGTCTCTGTTAGCCCTTCTCTACATCTAAAAATGGGTGATTCGAACGGTGTCGCCGCTGAAACAGCGGAGAGATTCGCTATCGGTATCTCGTTTGGTAACTCCTCGAGTTCCATTGCTCGCCTCACTCCTGTATGTTCCCACTGGTTCATCATGCGATACTGAAGCATGCGGAGTATTCTAACAGTTCGATCTATAGGAAGGCAAGGCTGAAGTCATCGCCAACGAGGAAGGAGGTACGTTGATCGCAGCCCCGCATGAGCACATCTCCGGACGATATAGATTTATGAAGCAGAAGCTTACCAAGACCTGTAGATCGTCAAATTCCTACTGTTCTGTCCTACATTGATGGTGAAGAATACCACGGTACTCAAGCCAAGGCCCAGCTTGTCCGCAATCCCCAGAACACTGTTGCATACTTCAGAGACTATGTTGGCAAGAAGTAATTAGCCCTGGACTTCGACTTCGCTATTGGAAGAGCAAGCATGCTGATTTTGCGTTACACAGTTTCAAGTCGATAGATCCTACTCCCTGCCACCAGTCAGCGCACCCTCAGCAAGTCGACTCCACTGTTGCCTTCACCATCCGGGATACCGCCAGCGAGACCCCCAACACCGTCACTGTCTCTGAGATCACAACTCGTCACCTCCGCCGTCTGAAGCAATCCGCCTCGGACTACCTCGGTAAGGACGTCAATGCTGCCGTCATCACCGTTCCCACCGACTTCACCGATGCTCAGCGCGAAGCCCTTATCGCTGCCGCTAGCGCCGCTGGCCTGGAGGTTCTCCAGCTCATCCACGAGCCGGTTGCCGCCGTCCTGGCTTACGATGCCAGACCCGAGGCTGTTGTTACCGACAAGCTTGTTGTGGTCGCTGACCTCGGTGGTACCCGTTCCGATGCCGCTGTGATTGCTTGCCGTGGTGGCATGTACACTATCCTCGCAACTGCCCACGATTACGAACTCGGAGGAGCAACCTTGGATCAGATTGTCATTGATCACTTTGCCAAGGAGTTCATCAAGAAGCACAAGACTGACCCTCGCGAGAACGTCCGCGGTCTCGCTAAGTTGAAGCTGGAAGGCGAGGCCACAAGGAGGGCCTTGAGTCTGGGCACCAATGCCAGCTTGAGCATTGAGAGTCTTGCGGACGGTATTGATTTCAGTTCCACCATCAACCGGACCCGGTACGAGCTGCTTTCGGGCAAGGTCTTTGCTCAGTTCACTCGCCTGATCGAGCAGGTTGTCCAGAAGGCTGAGTTGGATGTCCTGGATATCGACGAGGTCAGTGGTTATAAGAATACTTCCTTGGAAATCCACGTCCTTAATTAACAGTTTCTTCAGGTCATCCTCTCCGGTGGTACATCGCACACACCTAAGATTGCTCAGCTGGTCCGCAACATGTTCCCCGAGAAGACGCAGATCCTCGCCCCCTCGACCTCTGCCAGCGCTATCAACCCCTCCGAGTTGGCTCCTCGTGGTGCTGCCATCCAGGCCTCTTTGATCCAGGAATTCGATAAGGAAGACATTGAGCAGAGCATCCATCCCATGGTTACTGCCACTCCTCATCTGCGCAACGCCATTGGTGTTGAGTTCGTGCATGGAGAGACTGTCGAGTTCAAGCCTCTTCTGAATGCCGAGACCGCCCTTCCTGCTCGCCGCATCGCTCAGTACTCCGCCCCTAAGGAGGGTGGTGACATCCTTGTGCGTGTGTGCGAGGGTGTCCGCGAGATCAAGGTCACCAAGCCCGAGCCAAAGCCCAAGGAGGAGAAGCCCGCCAAGGCTGAGGATGACGAAGACGAAGACTCCGACTTTGACTCGGACGAGGATGAAGAGGAGGAAATCCGTGAGATTGTATGGAAGACCGAGAAACCCATCGCCGAACTTGCGGTCAAGGGCGTCAAGGCTGGCAGCAAGGTTGAGCTGATGGTTCACGTCAACGCTGATCTGGGCATGCAGATCACCGCTCGGGAAGTCGGTGGTCAGAGTGCTGTCCGTGGCGCCGTCGAGTCGCCCAAGGCTTAAGCAGTAATAACGGGCTTCCGTATTCTCCTTTAACAAAACTATCTATCTTGAAACAGGCAACGTCATGGGTAATGTCATCCTTTATATGAGTTCATAGAGTATCTAGATGAGATCAATTTCACTTTTGGCATTTTCTATACTTTCATCTTGCTCTTCCTAGATCTGAAAAATGTCTGGGTGGCTCCTACATAGAAAAAATTGTCGGTTTGATTTTTGAGTATACTAAATTGTATACTTGTCATTGTATTGTCTGCTGCCAAATAACGAATACATACCCTGTTGAGATAACAGTACCTCTGGGCAATTGGATTATGCCTAGAAGATAGTGTGATGACTTATTGGAACAGAGGAATTATATTACAGATTATTAAATGGATAAGATAATAGTCCAAACATCATCAAAGCCGTCAAACAAACAGCAAGCATCTGCAACATGGGGCAACTGAGGAATTAGGGCGCCGTAAAGATCAAACATGTACCCACTTCATAAACACGTAAAATGAGCGTAGGGTTGGAAGAGGTGTCGAGGTGTCCACCGATAAATCATTGCTTCGAGGCGTCCTCTGGTGCAGGCCCAGAGTCCAGGAATGCTTAGTGAGCGATGACGGAAAGCTATATCCGTTGCATTGAAGTTTCCGTGCAGCGACAGCCTTAAAGCGCTCAGGAGAATGGATCGTGATCCTAAGAGCAAAGCCACGCCGACACTTGTTCATCTCGGGCAAAAGAGACGAAACAAGATTTATGGTGCGGTTTCCTTGTTGCTTCTCAGGCTTCCTGATCGGCGGGAACTGAAGAAACCACGCCGTCTCTGTTCCCGTCCGCTATATCCGCCGTCCTTTCGGCCAACGGCGCCTCCCATGCAGTAGATCACGCAGGAGAAGAAGAGGAGAGCGACGGAAGTCCACATGAAGGCGAAAGCCTTAGAACCGAGATGAGCTGATTGGCCGTTGTTGTTGAATTTATTGCGACCCTGAACGTAGACAGCGCTATTCGAGTTGTCAGTTATATCGAATTCTATATTCTAGAACATATTGAATGATGAAACTCACGTCATCAGGCAAGTGGTGATGGCCTGGAAAGTCAGCGCAATGTACGCTGAGAATGCCGAGACCCAATTTCCAATGCGGGTGCACATGGCAAGGAAACCCGTGAAGAGCGAGCAGGTAGCGAAGAATAGGGCGATGATGTGGAATGGGAACATGAAGCGGGAGGTCAAGAAATAATGGTTGGTC